TATCGTTAATGCATCCTTTCAAAACTGTGTTTTTCCATCAAAATGGAAAACAGCCGAGGTTACACCCATCCTAAAGGAGGGCGACCATGAACAGGCAAACAACAATAGACCCATCTCACTTCTACCAGTTTTATCGAAGGTTTGCGAAAGGGTAGTACATAATCAACTCACCTCGTATCTGCAATCAAATGACACCCTATCAAAGAGTCAAAGCGGTAACAAGAGATGGCACTCTTGTGAAACATCTGTCATTGAAACAACAGACACAATTCTTAACGCCATCGATAAAAAGAAGTTAACGGCAGTTGTACTATTAGATATGAGCAAAGCCTTTGATAGTGTCAATCATGACACGTTAATTTTAAAATTGCAAGATGTCGGAATTTCCAGTGACACTCTCCAATGGTTTCGTAGTTACCTAAGCAACAGGTCACAAGTAGTACGAATCTATTCAACGCTATCTGAGCCTTTGTCTGTGACCAGTGGCGTTCCTCAAGGAAGCATCTTGGGCCCACTTCTTTTTAGCATATATACGAACGATCTTCCATTGATCCCACAGAAATGCAGCACCCAGAGTTATGTAGATGATACGAAACTCATCACTTCCTTCGAGCTTAAAGCCAACCTGGATGCAATTGCTGATTTGGAAGACGACCTGTTTAAAATAGGGGAATGGTGTTCCAACAATCAATTGTTACTAAACCCTGGCAAAACCAAGTTGATGATATTTGGCAGCAGGCAGATGCGTGCAAAATTCAATTTCGTTACCTTTCCTTTATGGGTAAGGACATTGTCCCTACAGACACCGCCAAAGACCTTGGTGTGACTTTGGATTCTAATTTAACTTACGATGAACATATAATTAAAACCGCTTCCTCGTGCATGTCCTGCCTTGGCCAGATAAACCGTGTCAAGCATGTCTTCGACAAACGTACACTTTTGATGATTATTAATTCCTTAGTTTTTAGCAGGTTATTTTATTGCTCCAATGTTTGGTCAAATACCTCAAAATGTAATGTCAACAAGTTACAGGCAGTGCAGAACTTCGCATGCCGCATTGTTAGTGGCGCGCGTAAATTTGACCATGTTACACCAATTCGCAAGGAGCTAAATTGGCTTTCAGTTCCCAGTCAGCTTTATTACCGGAACGCTACAATGGCTTTTAAATGTATGACCGGTCAAGCCCCTGAATACCTTACATCAAAATTCATAAAGCGAGCAGAGGTTAGCCGACGTAGCACCAGAAATTCACAGCTTTTACAAATTCCCTTTTTTAGAACAGCTGCCGGTCAGAGAACATTTTTCTATAGAACTGTGAACTTATGGAACTCCTTAGACAAATCCTTTAAACTGTGTAACTCGATTGATGTTTTTAAATCTCGTTTACGTACTAAATTACTTAAAGAATTGTAATTTTATATATATTTTAAAACATTTTTTAATTGTAAATAGGATCATGTATTGTCTTTGAAAAGCCCCTTGGGAAAGTCAATAAAGTATGTATGTATGTATGTATGTATGTATGTATCATATGAAATCTTACAGGATCCTACAGTATCCTAGAGTATCCTATATTATCGTAAAGGATCCTATGGAATTGGGTGTGGAGATAAGCATGAAAGGACTCCACAGTACTCTGTAAAATTTTAAACATGCAGTGGAATCATACAAGATCCC